AAACCAGCAGTGGCATTACTTTTTTCTCCTTTCTTGTACCTTGTCATCCCTGCGTTATTTTTGGAGAGCTGTATTTATTTCTGCTCCCACTTCCTCACTGGAGGCAGGGGTTGGGGTGCAGAGAAGGTATTGGGAATCAGAAGAGGTAAGCATAAGGGACATCTCAGTGGGGGCCTTGCCTGGGCTCTGGGGGCGGTTAGGGCCTCTCCTCCGCCCAGCTGTAGGCGCAGGGGCCCTGTGCCAGGATTGTGGAGACCTGGGAAACTCTCTTTTCTGGGATGTGGATCTGGCGCTTGAGCACAAGAATTTCCCTGTGTGTGGTTTTTAATTTATTTTAAAATGTTTTAATTATATAAATAATAGTTATTCATTATAGACAGTTGGAAAATACAGATAAGCCCTGAGAAGAAAATAAGTCATACGCCCAAGCACCTGAGGTCAATTAATCCACGACAAAGGAGGCAAGAATGTACAGTGGAGCAGAGACAATCTCTTCAACAAGCAGTGTTGGGAAAACCAGACAGCCACGTGTAAAACAATGAGATTAGAACATTCACTCACACCATATACAAAAATAAACTCAAAATGGTTTAAGGACCTAAATGTAAGACCTGAAATCATAAAACATATAGAAGAGAACATAGGCAGAATACACTTTGACATCAATCATACCAGTATGTTTTTGGAATAGTCTCCTAAGACAAAAAAAAAAAATAATAATAAAAGCAAGAATAAACAAACAGGGCCTAATTAAACAGCAGAGGAAACCATCAACAAAATGAAAATATAACCTATGGAATGGGAGAAAATATTTGCAAATGATATGACTGACAAGGGTTAATACCCAGAATATATAAACAGCACATACACCTCAATATCAAAAAACAAACAACCCAATCAAAAAATGGGCAGAAGACCTGAATAGACATTTTTCTAAAGAAGACATACAGATGGCTAACAGGCACATGAGAAGATGCTCAACATCACTGATTATTAGAGAAATGCAAATCAAACTACAGTGAGATGTCACCTCACGCCTGTCAGAATGGCTATCATTAAAAAGTCTACAAATAACAAATGTTGGAGAGGAGGTGGAGAAAAGGGAATCTTCCTACACTGTTGGTGGGAGTGTAGATTGGTGCAGCCACTGTGGAAAACAGTATGGAGGTTCCTCAAGAAACTAAATATAGAACTACCACATGATCCAGCAATTCCACTCCTGAGACTATATCCAGAAAAGACAAAAGCACTAATTCAAAAAGATACATGCACCTCAATATTCATAGCAGCATTGTTTACAATAGCCAAAACATGGAAGTGCCCATCAACAGAGACATAAGTGCCCATCAGCAGACAAATGGATTAAGAAGAATGGTATACATTTACAATGGAATATTACCCAGCCATAAAAAAGAATGAAATTCTTCCATTTGGAGCAATGTGGATGGACCTAGAGAATCTTATACTTCGTGAAATAAGTCAGACAGAGAAAGACAGATACTGTGGGACATAACTTATGTTTGGAATCTGAAAAATAATACAAATGAATGTATATGCAGAACAGAAACAAACTCACAGATATAGAAGACAAATTTGTAGTTACCAAATGGAAGAAGGAAGGGAGGAAGGACAAATTAGGGGTATGGGACTAAAAGATACAAACTACTGTGTATAAAATAGATAAGCAACAAGGGTATATTGTATAGCATGGGGAATTATAGCCATTATCTTGTAATAAATGATAATGGAATATAATCTGTAAAAATACTGAATCACTGTGCTGTACACACAAAACTAGTATAATATTGTAAATCAACTATACTTCAATTAAAATAAATTTTAAAAGTCATACATAGGGAATTCCCTGGCAGTCCAGTGGTTAGGACTCGGCGCTTTCACTGCCATGGCATGGGCTCAGTCCCTGGTCGGGAAACTAAGATCCTGCAAGCCACGTGGCATGGCCAAAAAAAAAAAAAAAAAAAAAAAAAAAATCATACGTAATCAATGCCATCTATAAGCGACTGCTATAAATTTTAATCTCTGTTCATTCATTCATTTATCTATCAATTGATTATTATTTTTGGATGAAGAATGTGGATAACGATCTCACAAGCCAAGGACTGAATTCTTTTAGATTTTACTATGACTGTGTATACCTATTCTTTTTTCTTTCAAAAATGGTATATTTTTTAGTTTTGTGACCTGCCTTTCCCATTTTTCAGGTGGTTTCATTATGTCTCTGTTTACTCTCTGACCTTCCTTGCCTTTTGTGAGTGAGCAAAGAAAGGCATTTTGCCCAAAGGGAGGCATTTGGGAAGAGCCATCTGGTTATTTCTTGGTGTAGTTGCTTAAAGCGTGGACGGCAGAGAGGTGCATGAAGTGTGTGTCTGCCTCTCCCCATCCATGTTTCTCGCTACCTATCTTCCATCTGCTCTCCCTACCCACCCCTCTGCCTTTTTTTTCCTTCCATACAAACCCAGGAAAGGATACTGCCTCCAGTCTGCAGGTTTCTTTTCATGGCTTTTAGAGAAAAACCTCTCAGGAGCTCAGAAAAAAAGGTACACAGAGTGGAGACGGGAAAGGTCGTGCCTAAGCTGGGGTGGGGCCTTGGGAAGAGTGACCAAGAGGAGGGCCCAGGTCCCTGACTCTGTCTTGAAGCAGTGAGAAGAAACTGGGTGTTAGGTTTGGGGGGGATAGCAGGTGGCTGTGGGGCCTTCTTGCAGAGACAGCGACCAAGATGACCAGGAGGAGGCCTGGAGATTATATAAGGGGCCCGGATAAAGGCCGGAAATAGGGGACAAGGAATTGTGTCTTGACAGGACACTCTTCTCCACCCAGGCCCTGCTCTTTCCATGAACCTCTGCTGGTCTGCTTTCCCTACCTGGCCATGGCCAGGCCAGGTGGTTTGACAGGTCTGGCAGACCCAGCCACCATGCCCTACTGACACCTCTGTGCCAGCAGCTGCTCCATGGCCCCTCCCTGGCCAGTAGGTAGGGATCTGCGCATGTAGTCAGGCATGGGGAAGATGTTCCCATCATCCTCAGAATTGGCGGCTCAGATTCCATTCTAGAAAAACAGCTCAGAGCCAGGGAGAAAATGGAAGCTGGGGTGGTCTGGGAGGAACAAGCGATGCCTCCCCTTTACTTCTTACTGAATAAATGGGGTCTCTGGCCGTAGGTGAGGAGAAGGCCTCTGAGCCCTGAGGATGAGTGAAACTTGGCATCTCAGCTTTTTTCTGGGCTACTCTGGTCTGCACGCAGGCTGGTGTTTCATGGCGGGGCCAGGAATCCATGCTTATGAACAGGATGATTTCCATAAGCTGTGTGTTCCTCACTGGGTCATACTTGTTTTCCTGTGGATCCCAGTCCTGGTGAGACCCGGCAGCCACCCGCTGGGCTGCAGAGCAGGGTAGCTTCCTGTGGGGCCCCTCGAAGCCTGCACTGCTCCTCTCCCTTCCTCCACTCCTGAGCTATAATTAAGTTCCTATACGAAACCGTATCCCTCAGCTGACACACACTTGTAACCGCAGTCCTGGTCACTGGGCAGCTCCTCTGGGGTGACTCCAGGGTCTGGTGTCTCAGCCTCCAGACAGTCTTGGGTAGGTCTGAGTAGGTGGTGGGAACCCACCAGGAGAGGCGTGGGTCCAGTGAGGCAGGAGCAGGCCCTGCCCAAGAGGCAGAAAGTGGGGAGTCAAGGGGGAGATGAACGGCTGGTGAGCAGCCAGAGTGCAGCGCACACAGAGGTGGAGGCCAGGACAGGCAGCCTTGCAGGGCAGGAGGGCATGGACAGGGCCAAGGTTCTGAGTCACCAAGCCACGAGGCAGAATGTAATCAATCTGTTTTATTTTATACTCTGCATATTTCTGTAGTATTGTAAAATTGAGATATACTTCCCATAATGTAAAATTCACCACTTTAAGGTATACACTTCAGGTTTTCGGTAGATGTACCGTGTTGTACAATCATTGCCACTGTCTAATTCCATAACATTTTCATCACCCCCAAACAAACCCTGTACCTATTAGCACTTAGTCCTAATACCATCTTCCCCTCATTGATTCCCTGGCAACCACTAATCTACTATCCTCTGTGGATTTCCCTATTTTGGACATTTCCTATAAATGGAATCATACAATATGTGGTCTTTTGTATCTGGCTTCTTTCACTTAACATAATGTTTTCAAGGTTCATCCATGCTGTAACATGTAGTGGTACTTCATTCCTTTTTATGGCTGAATAATATTCCTTTGTATCATCTGGGTTCTTTCCATTTTTTTGGCTTCTATGGACACTCATTTACAGACTCTTGTGTAGACATATACTTTAAGTTCTTTTGGGATTATACATAGGAGTAGAATTGCAGGGTCATGGTAACTTTCTGTTTAATATTTTGAGGAACTACCAAACTGTTTTCCAAAGTGCCTGCATCATGCCCTCACTCACTTATTGTTTGTTTGTTTATGTATTATGTTTATTGGCTATTTATTTTTAATTATAAAATATATATAACATAAAATTTGCCATTTTAACCTTTTTTTTTTTGCGGTACGTGGGCCTCTCACTTGTGGCCTCTCCCGTTGCGGAGCACAGGCTCCGGATGTGCAGGCTCAGGGGCCATGGCTCACGGGCCCAGCCACTCCGCGGCATGTGGGATCTTCCCGGACCGGGGCACGAACCCGTGTCCCCTGCATCGGCAGGTGGACTCTCACCACTGTGCCACCAGGGAAGCCCTAACCATTTTTTAAATGTACATTTCAGTGGCATTAAGTACCCTCACATTGTTGTACAGCCATCACCACATCCATCTCCAGAATGTTTTTTCTTCTTGCAAAACTGGGAATTCCCTGGTGGTCCAGTGGTTAGGACTCTGTGCTTTCAATGCCAGGGGCCCGGGTTCAGTCCCTGGTTGGGGAACTAAGATCCTGCAAGCCACGTTGTGCAGCCAAAAAAAAAAAGAGAAAAGAAAAAAAAAGACCATCTTGCAAAACTGAAACCGTACCCATGCTTGCTTCGGCAGCACATACACTAAAATTGGAATGATACAGAGAAGATTAGCATGGCCCCTGCGCAAGGATGACACGCAAATCCATGAAGCGTTCCATATTTTTAAGATGATACAAACGGAGAGATATTACCATGTTTTTGGATTGGAAGAATCAACATTGTGAAAATGACTATACTACCCAAAGCAATCTACAGATTCAATGCAATCCTTATCAAACTACCAATGGCATTTTTCACAGAACTAGAACAAAAAATTTCAGAATTTGTATGGAAACACAAAAGACCCAAATAGCCAAAGCAATCTTGAGAAAGAAAAACGGAACTGGAGGAATCAGGCTCCCTGACTTCAGACTATACTACAAAGCTACAGTAGTCAAGACAGTGTGGTGCTGGCACAAGGGCAGAAATATAGATCAATGGAATGGGATAGAAAGCCCAGAGATGGACCCACACACATATGGTCACTTTATCTTTGATAAAGGAGATAAGAATATACAATGGAGGAAGGACAGCCTCTTCAATAAGTGGTGCTGGGAAAATTGGACAGGTGTATGCAAAAGAATGAAATTAGCACACTCCCTAACACCATACCCAAACATAAACTGGAAATTGATTAAAGATCTAAATGTAAGGCCAGACACTATAAAACTCTTAGAGGAAAGCATAGGCAGAACACTCTATGACATAAATCACAGCAATATCCTTTTTGACCCACCTCCTAGAGAAATGGAAATAAAAACAAAAATAAACAAATGGGACTTAATGAAACTTAAAAGCTTTTGCACAGCAAAGGAAACCATAAACAAGACAAGAGGACAGCCCTCAGAATGGGAGAAAATATTTGCAAATGAAGCAACTGGCAGGGGGTTGGTCTCCAAAATATACAAGCAGCTCATGCAGCTCAATATCAAAAAAAACAAACAACCCAATCCAAAGATGGGCAGGGGACCTGGATAGACATTTCTCCAAAGAAGATATACAGATTGCCAGCAAACACATGAGGGGATGCTCGACATTACTGATCATTGGAGAGATGCAAATCAAAACTACAATGAGGTGTCACACCTCACACTGGTCAGAATGGCCATCATCAAAAAATCTGCAAACAAAAAAAAAAAGAAAAAAAATCTGCAAACAATAAAAGCTAGAGAGGGTGTGGAGAAAAGGGAACCCTCTTGCACTGTTGGTGGGAATGTAAATTGATGTGGCCACTATGGAGAACAGTGTAGAGGTTCCTTAAAAATCTAAAAAAAAACTACCACATGACCCAGCAATCCCACTACTGGGCATATACCCTGAGAAAACTATAATTCAGAAAGAGTCATGTACCACAGTGTTCATTGCAGCACTATTTACGGTGGCAGGGACATAGAAGCAACCTAAGTGTCCATCAACAGATGAATGGATGAAGAAGATGTGACACATATATACAATGGAATATTACTCAGCCTTAAAAAGAAACGAAATTGAGTTATTTGTAGTGAGGTGGATGGACCTAGAGTCTGTCATACAGAGTGAAGTAAGTCAGAAAGAGAAAAACAAATACCGTATGCTAACGCATATATATGGAATGTAAAAAAAAAAAAGGTTCTGAAGAACCTAGGGGCAGGACAGGAATAAAGACGCAGACGTAGAGAATGGACTTGAGGACACAGGGAGCGGGAAGGGTAAGCTGGGACGAAGTGAGAGAGTGGCATTGACATGTATACTCTACCAAATGTAAAATAGATAGCTAATGGGAAGCAGCCACATAGCACAGGGAGACAGCTTGGTGCTTTGTGTCCACCTAGAGGGGTGGGATAGGGAGGGTGGGAGGGAGATGCAAGAGGGAGGGGATATGGGGATATATGTATACGTATAGCTGATTCACTTTATTACACAGCAGAAACTAACACAACATTGTAAAGCAATTATACTCCAATAAAGATGTTAAAAAAATAACAAAAAATATAATAAAGTTACTTAGGTCAGTTCCTTATACCTTTAACCACTTCAGTGAAGTGGTTCAATATATTTGTTGTACACAATTGATTCTTTTATCATATTCTGTCTTTAATCCTGGGATTCCCATATGGCCATTTAAAAAAAATTATACATTAAGGTTTACTCTTTGTGTTGTACATTTAAATGGGGTTTAAAAAAGGCATAATGCCATGGATCCAGAGTTATAGTTTCATACATTTAGTTCCATTACCTTAAAAATTCCCTTGTGCTTCAATTATTCAACAACCCCCACCCCTCGTTCCTAGTTTTGCCTTTTTCAGAATGTCATATAATTGGAATCATACAATGTGTAGCCTTTGCGGACGAAATTCCTTAACTTAGCGATATGCATTTAAGATTCTTCCATGTCTCTTCCTGGCTGACAGCTCATTTTAAAAAAATTACTGAACAATATTCTTTTGTGGGTATGTGCCACATTTTGTGTATCCATTTACTTCTTAAGGATATCTTGGTTGCTTCCTGTTTTGGGCCGTTGTGAATGGAGCTGCAATGAACATTCACAAGAAGGTTTTTTTCTGGACATAAGTTTTCAAGTCTAGGTGAACTTAGATAGACACATGACTGTGGATCATATGATAAGACGATTTTTAATTTTGTAAGAAACTGACAGGCTGTCTTCCTAAGTGGCTGTATCATCTGCATTTTTACCGGAAAGGAGTAAGAGTTCCTGTTGTTCCACATCTCACCAGCATTTGGCTGTTAATGTTTTGTGTTTTAGACATTCTAAATATATGTTTAGTAGAATCTTGCTGTTGTCTTGGTTTGCAGTTCCCTGATGACAAGTGATGTTGAGCATTTTCTCGTATGATTATTTGGCATACGTAAATCTTTGGTCTGTTCAGATCTTACGCTCATTTTTCAAGTGGCTTATATATTTTATTATTGTTCAGTTAAATATTTTTTGTGTATTTTTGATATAAATCCTTAGATACGTATTTTGCAGATGTTTCTACCAGTCTGTGGCCTACCTTTTCATTCTCTTAACTGAGCCTTTTACAGAGCAGAAGTTTTTTTAATTTAGTAAAGTCTAGTTCATCAGATTATTTTCATGGATTGTGCTCTTGATATTATATTTAAAATCTCATCGCCTCACCCCAGGAGATGGTGATTTTTCTCCTGTTTTATATTTAAGTTTATGTTACATTTTAAGTTAACTTTTGCATAAGGTCTAGGCTTTTATATGTTTATATGTATACATATATGTATGTATATGTGTATGTGTGTGTGTGTTTGTGTGTGTGTATATATATATATATATATATATAATATTTATAGTTCCAGGCACCATTTGTTGAAAATACTATTTCGTCCATTGAATTGACTTTGCTTCTTTCCCAAAAGAACTGTTGACTATGTTAGTATTGGTGTATTTCAGGACTTCTTACATTGTTACATTGATATATGTATCTGTTCTTTGCCAGCACCACACCGTCTTGATTTCTATATTGTAATAAATATTGAAATCACAAAAAAAAGGGAAAAAAAGAAATTCTGTACCCTAATTAATGATTCTCCATTCCCCACCACCCCCCAGGCTTCTGGCAATCACCATTCTACCTTCTGTCTCTATGAATTTGACTACTCTAAATCCATCATAGGAGTGGAATCATACAGTATTTGTCCTTTTGTGACTCGCTTATGTCACTTATAATGTCTTCAGTGTTCACCCATGTTGTAGCGTGTGTCAGAATTTCATTCCTTTTTAAGGCTGAATAATATTCCATTGTGTGTACCACACATGTTAATGTACCACACATTAACAATACCACATCTTGTTAATCCATTCATCTGTTGATGATTCATTCATCTGTTGCTTTCCCCTTTTGGATTTTGTGAATGTACTACTATAAACATGGATGTACAAATATCTGTTCACGTCCCCTTGTTCAGTTCTTTTGGGTACATACCCAGAAGTAGAATTGCTAGGTTGTATGATAATTCTGTTTTTAATTTTTTAAGGAACCACCGTACTGTTTTCCATAGTGGCGGTGCCATTTTACATTCCCACAAGCAGTGTACAAAGGTACCCACGCCCTCCCTCTTGATTGATAGCTCGGTTGAATACAGAATCAGAATTTTGAGGTTACTGCTCCATGTTTCAGTATGAATAATGAAGTTAGTTGGAATCTAAGTCCTTTGTAAGTAATCTGTTTTTTCTTCTCTGAAAGATGTAAGAATATTCTTTATTCTTGGAGTTCAGATATATCACCAGGATATATCTAGATATTTGTCTTCTTTCCTTAATTTCTGCAGAGCCCTTAATTGCTAAAGACAAGTCTTGGAATCTCCAGGAAATCTTCTATTTGTTTTCCTTCATTGTCTCTATTCTCTGCTTCTAGGACTCTTATTAGACAGACTTTGGACTTTTGGACTTATTGCTTCATCGCTAGTGTGTAGAAATATGATTAAATTTTATATATTCATCTTGTATACTTCAACCTTGCTGAACTTATTTATTAGTTCTAACAGGTTTTTTTTAGTGGATTTCTTAGGATTTTCTGTGTATAAGACCATGACTTCTGCTAATAGAGATAGTTTTACTTTTTCCTTCCCAATCAGATAACTTTTATTTCTTTTTCTCACCTAATTGCCCTGGCTAGAATCTCCAGTACAGCATTGAATAGAAATGGTGAAAGTGGACATCCTTGTCTTGTTCCTGATCTTAGGAGGGAAGCTTTTCCTTAGGAGCTGCTTATTTTTGAATTGAGAATTCTTGACGTGCTACAAAATTCAGAGGTATTCCCTCTTTCCGTCCCCCATCTCTCAGCCGCCCAGCCGCCGGTGGAGGCAGCCCCCTTAGCCACTCTCGTTTATGAGCATGTACCTCTTTTCTGTTATGACATTATTACTTTCCAGGCAGATGACTATCTGCTGTGCTCACTGGTCTGCCTCTCGCTTCTCGTAGTGTGTCTTGTCCATCTGGCATCCAGTGCGCCTGGAGCTTCCTCATTCTTTTTCACTGCTCCCTCCTCTCTTTTATGTGTGTGCCACCCCCCTATTTATTGATGGGCGTACAGGTGATTTCCAGTCTTTTGCTGAGTGAGTAACCTTCACGTGTATCATTTTGCACACAGATATAACAAACAGATTGATATGGATG